ATGCACCAATTCTAGGAGAAGATATAATTTTGGCATTAACAACACTTGTAAACTTGGATGAAAACACCATTCTGAACTCAAGCCAAGTGTTTTTTTTTTTGAAGAAAACTTAATTTTGGTGATCATTGACACTATATCTAAAAGAAAACGTGATTCATGCATCAATGACACCAAAACTTAGAGACACCTCGACTCTCCAGAGTAGTAAATTTTTTTCAAAAGAAGACATGACTTTTGTGCTTCCTCTAAGGGAGAACATGGCTTTTCAGGAAAAAAAATAGTAAAAATTAAAGGAAACATGATTCTGGGGTGAAATTGACCAATTCTAAGAGAGGTCAGGTGATTTCAATGGCAATCGATCTAAACTAGAAAAAAAAATTTGATTCTGTTGTGAAACATATTAATTCTTTAAGAAAAATTGATTTCATTTCTACGTGAGTATTTCCAAAAAGAAATCACGATTCTAATGTGTAAGAACTCATTCTAAAAGAAAAGATTTCATTCGTGGTATCAAATGTGAGACTCGAACAAACTAATTAAATATTTTCTTTTGGGTCGGGGGTTTAGATGTGAGTACTTAATTTAGTCATTAGATTTAAAATTGAAATATCAGAAAACACTAAGAAATATCTTCATCTATTTTAGATTGATAAGTCAAATTTTGGGGACGAAAATCCTAAGGAGGAAAGAATTGTAAGATCCAAACACGCATGACAAACATATTCAAATGTGAAATGCATGCGTAGGATTGACAACCAATATTTGATTTTGAGAAATGATATGAGACCTAAACCTAAATGTTTGATATTTTAATATTTAGAGATAATTTATAAATAATGAATATAGGGGGAAATATTTTATTTAAATATGAAATTTTAAATAAGAATGTTGACATGAGATATGACTTTATTATTTTATGTACGTTAGCGCATGTGAAATTAATTGGGTGGCAAGCATGTGACATTAATTTAGTGTTATTAAAATAAAATGTGTTAGTATTATATATTCATGTCTATGTATAAATATGCATATGAAGAAAAAGTGGACATCTACATAAAAGTATGTATACATATATATGTATATAAGAAAACATATATGGAATATATATGTTTATATGCTAGGAAAAGTGCATATATATATAAGTAATGCTGGAGGCCTCCACTTAAGAAGACATGCAAGCCATGTCTTGCATACAAAAAAAAATGAGAAGAAAAAAAAACAAGTGTGGGTGCAAAGATAAGAATTTCTGAGATGTAGGAATCCAACTCTAGTATATACATTTTGAGTGTTGCATATATTTAAAGTATGGTATCTTGTATGGGTTTTGGGTATTGTATATATATAAGTATGATGTTTAATAACAACTTTGGTTATTGCATTAAGGATTTACCTTAATATTTATGTTTGTGTGTAAATTAAGTTAGTTTTACTGCATGAAAAATAGAAGAGTAGAATTATTGTATGCGGGTTTATTGGGATGCTTGTTATGAATGTTTAGTATCAGGGGTGTTGCTTGGAAAATTTAACATAGAAGTTTGGTTGGTAGATTAGAAATCTTGTGAATTATTCTTGAATTTTCATGAATCCATGGGTATGAATACTTACAAGTAAACATGTCATTTTATGCTTGAATAGAAAATTACGCAAATTCAAGTATGCTTTTGTGATGTTTATAATTTTATGATAAATTTTTAATTTGGGTGTAATTGGTTTGAATAAATATTTCCTAAATAGATTCAAGAAGATTATCTCAATTTCATTCGAGTAGACAATTTTACTCGATGCAAATGGATTACTTCACTTGACTAGAGTTGATTATCAAACTATTAGTTTAATCGATTGGAGTAGATAATGTTGTTTAATATAAATGAATTATTTAATTTAAAGCGAAATAATCACTAAATTAGGTTTGAGTAAAGCATCTCGAACTTAAGTGGTGTTATGTATTAATGTACAAATGGAATTGTGAATATTGGTTATGTTAGGTTAGAAGACGAACACTACTAAAAGTGCTACACTAAAAGCTCTGACAGAGGGGTCGTCTACAAGATAAAACTTCATGCAAGGTTGGTGCACCACCCTACAACTTTTTTGTGATAATTTATAAGACTCTTAAACATATATTTTTTCTATGGTTATTGTTGGAAATAATTAATTGAGTGGAGACACACGATTGAATATATGTAGATGTCATATGTAATGGTTTATCAATGTGTTAATGTGAATGTCATATAAAATGGTTAATGGATGGGTAGATATGAAAATTATCTATGACGGCTAATTTAATTACCTTAGTGGAGAGATGACACTGTCTTAACGACAGATATGTATCTATATAATTTTATGATATAGATACAATTTATGTAGCAAGGAATTCTTCTATGGTGTTATGGATGAGATACCGTATCATGATATCCAATAAAAGATTGATATATTTATCTATGAATGAACATTTGGTTACCTTGATTGTGAATTTTTCTCAATGTAGAGTAGTTTATATGTGAAATAAGGTACAACAATTTAGCTTGAAATAATGAAACAAAAAAAATAAAAGCGGTGGCGATATGATAAAACCTGATTATTGAGGCACATATTATGCTATTGATGTACTATGTTGTATAGAATGTATGAAGTAGATTATTGAAAATTAATATAATATTTGATTATAATTATTATAATAACCACTTATGTAGAGACTATGATATGAAACTTTGATGGAGTGATTAAATGGGAGCGAATAAATTTGAAATTATGATACTTATCTCTAGCATTGTTCGAACAGTGTTAATGCATGTAATTTTAAAAACCCATGAATAAGTTTTGCTAAAAAATTTTAATTTTGATGAATTAAATTAGTGATTATGTAATACAAATATGCATTTAGAAGTGGAGGTAATAGGGATAAAATTACATGAGCAAGTGGAATGAAATGTTTTGATAAGATTTGAGTAACTGGTGTTTGAAATAAGTACGTAGATAGATGATACATCTAAACCCACTAAATTTTAATCTAAGTGTTGTAAAACCTAGGAAAGAATTAAAATTTTATTGTGAAACGGTAATTAGCCACTATGGTACGAGTTGAAAACCCAAATTTTTCTAAAAATTAGATGAAAAAAAGGGGCTCACTGTTAGATTCGTCTCGTGAAATTTAGTTATCCAGTCAATTTTCATTGAATTCTAAAACAGTTGGATTCTTCTCGTTTTACAATGAGATCGGGTGTCAAATAACCAAAATAAACGTGATCGGGATTTGACTGCAAAACATGAAAAATAATTTAAAGTTAGATCAAATAAAATATGTTAAACATAACACATGATGAGATTTAATTGATTCGGGATAAAATTGGATCAAGAAACGACAGGACGTGTGGCTCATTGTGGGCCAAGTATTAAAAGGTATAAATAGGGGAGAAAAATCAGATTTTCTCCCCATTTACACCAAATTGTTTGATAGGGAGAGAGAGAGAGAGAGAGAAGAGAGAGAAATTTGGTTCTTTCATCTTCTTCTGGCGATTTAAGGCCAACCATTCATCGAATCGCTTTGGACCAGGAACAAAAGTTGATCTACACGACAAGAGCTACGTCTACGTACAAAACATGGTGGAATTCGCCAAAGTCTAAAGCTCAAGATTTTTGAAACAATAGTTTGATTTGGGCTTTTTGGAGTTCCTACCATTCGTATTATCCTTCAAGAGGTAGGGTCCCTCTCCTAGCTAGGTTTATTTTTAACCTAGGGTTTGCATAGGAAGTGGGTAACATGGTTAGAGATGAAAACCCTTGTCTAGACACATTCTTAATGTGACTAGAGTATGGGAAAGGGTATAGAACATGTTAAACCAATTTTTGTATAAATTGAGTTTGTTGAAATTGCTTGATTTGAGAATTTAATGGATAATGTTATGTGTTGGGCATGATTATGTATTACGTGATTGTGTGCTTTAAAGGTGATTGATAAAATGCTGAGGAATGATTAAGCATATCAATTGAACAGATATGATATAATATGCTTAGTGAAAATTGTAAAATGTGATTATATGATCATCGTATAATTGACATTGTGAAAATCGTGTATGTCGTGTTATACTCATGATATAACGAACATGACATTGAAATTGTAATTGTACATTACATTCCATATGCTTGTAAAACATCACATTCATGGACATGTGACATGGGTGTGGGTGTATGCATGGTTTTGATCAAACACAAACACCATTCTTGGTGGATGACACGTGGGCTTGGAAAAGTTAGACCAAGGTTCGACTGAGTCGCACGGGTTGCTTTTAAAATAGGGTCAAGGTTAGCAAGAAAGGCCAGATTATCCCTAAGGTGCAAAACTCGGTGATTTGGATATACACTCCATTGATATTGAGTCTATAGAGTGTTGGCGTACGTGGAGCCATTGGTGGAAGTCCATAGATGTTATGTCAATTGGGTGCCCGTTGGTGGAAGTCCATAAATACCAATCCCAAGAAAGTCCTAGAAGTTATAAATAGTCATTGCATGTGCAACATCAATGGTGAGGGGGTGAAATTTCTTGATACATACGCATGGCATTGCATATGTAGAAGCCAGTGGAGGGCTTGGGTTGTGTTGCATGTGTAAGTCTTACCTCATAACATGGCATAACATTGTGACATTCATTTCTTAAAGTTGTATGTTCTTGGATAAATGCTTGTTTGATTTCAGAATTGCATGTGAGCATTTTGTATGCATCTAGGTTGGGAAGTAGTCACTTTAGAAGATACCCTATTGAGCATAGCTCACCCTATATGGGAACAACATTTTAGGTGCAAAACAAATGCCGGTGGACGGCCCACACATGGGACCGTGTTGAGAAGAAGTCGAAATGTGGCTTTAAGTTATATTTTTGTAAATCGATTTGTGTAATTGGTTTTGGACATATAATATTTCTTAAAGGGTTGTATAATGAACCTTTATGGACTATATTTTGAGTATAATTTGATGTTTTATGATTTGGGTGAATGTGGCATTAGGTTGGATGAGTTAAAATCGAAAAAGGAAAGAATTGGGGGAAAACTGAGCCCTGGTACCAATTCCAAGTTGATGAGCTACCGGTACCACGATGCCCGAGGCTTGAGGTACCAATACCACGCTGTCAAGAGCCCACGTATCGGTACCACGCTCAATCCTATCGATACTAGGCAAGCAGAATGCCCAAGTACCGGTACCAAGGAACAAGGTATAGGTAGTTCCTCCAAAATTTTCAGAAACTTGAAATAATTATTATATAGGGGTTTCGTTCCATAGTGTGGAACATTTATTTTGTACGAATATCAAGGTAAGAAAAGTATAAATTTAAGGATACAAAAAAAAAGTAGGAGATTATAAACACATCAAATTGAATATGTAACCATGATTCCAGGGCAATATACCGGTAACAAATATAAAATTGTGTTGACAATAAGGAATATATATATCATAATTAAATTCATAAACGTGATATGAGGTTGGTATTATTGTTAATGTTTTATTACTTGATTTTAAGATGGAGTAATGTGTGTGACTGTGAGACTAGCAACAAATTACTACTTTGGTAGATGAATAATTCAGATATTTTACTTGAATCTCTCTTGATAATCATGGGATTGGTGTGATATTTTATATGAGAACATGGTAGTAGAAAAGAGAAGGTAAATTTACTTTGGTTAATAGAGGGTTCATAATATATGTTTTTTTAAATTGAATATGAAGGTCAATTTAATTGTGTTGAAAAATATTGAAGAAAGGCAAACTTTGTGGCTTGATGATTAACGGTTAGGTGATTGTTATTGAATTTAAAAGATTTTAGTTATTTACATCATACTAGTAGTGGTCAACCAATTATTAACCAATTATACTTAAGATATAGGGATTATTTTTATAGTCGATTGATTGCCAATAGTGAGTAGATTATTGAGATCATGTTTGCAGAATGATATGTTGTATACTTACTATTTTGTGATAAATAATGTAATATTTGTGGATGAACAATTTTCACACCAAGAAAATTTTGGAAAAAGAACTCCTTCGGCAGGCAGCCCTACCTAAACCCAAACCCTTTGTGGACACATCATCTTTAGGTAATTACAAGGCTGACACCATACCCACTACCATAGAAGCACAACCTCACTTCATCACCAGCAGAAGAACATGCACAGATACAACCCAACCAACCAAAAAGAAAATGTAAAAGGTCACATGTGATTTAAGTGTTTATATACAAGAAATGGGTACATTTCGTTTGGTCTTTTATTTTTCATATACAAGAAATAGGGTAATTGTAATCAGACCATAGAGGTTGTTAATATATTGATGGTATTAAACGGGGGAGAGCAGAATGGGATGTGTATCAATAAGACCTCGTCTGAGCTACTAGGCTAGTGAAGATTAAAATAAGATTCTTGGGGAATAGGGAATGGTTTGCACAGTAAGATTATAGTAGTTCACCAACTCAGGAACNGCAATATACCGGTAACAAATATAAAATTGTGTTGACAATAAGGAATATATATATCATAATTAAATTCATAAACGTGATATGAGGTTGGTATTATTGTTAATGTTTTATTACTTGATTTTAAGATGGAGTAATGTGTGTGACTGTGAGACTAGCAACAAATTACTACTTTGGTAGATGAATAATTCAGATATTTTACTTGAATCTCTCTTGATAATCATGGGATTGGTGTGATATTTTATATGAGAACATGGTAGTAGAAAAGAGAAGGTAAATTTACTTTGGTTAATAGAGGGTTCATAATATATGTTTTTTTAAATTGAATATGAAGGTCAATTTAATTGTGTTGAAAAATATTGAAGAAAGGCAAACTTTGTGGCTTGATGATTAACGGTTAGGTGATTGTTATTGAATTTAAAAGATTTTAGTTATTTACATCATACTAGTAGTGGTCAACCAATTATTAACCAATTATACTTAAGATATAGGGATTATTTTTATAGTCGATTGATTGCCAATAGTGAGTAGATTATTGAGATCATGTTTGCAGAATGATATGTTGTATACTTACTATTTTGTGATAAATAATGTAATATTTGTGGATGAACAATTTTCACACCAAGAAAATTTTGGAAAAAGAACTCCTTCGGCAGGCAGCCCTACCTAAACCCAAACCCTTTGTGGACACATCATCTTTAGGTAATTACAAGGCTGACACCATACCCACTACCATAGAAGCACAACCTCACTTCATCACCAGCAGAAGAACATGCACAGATACAACCCAACCAACCAAAAAGAAAATGTAAAAGGTCACATGTGATTTAAGTGTTTATATACAAGAAATGGGTACATTTCGTTTGGTCTTTTATTTTTCATATACAAGAAATAGGGTAATTGTAATCAGACCATAGAGGTTGTTAATATATTGATGGTATTAAACGGGGGAGAGCAGAATGGGATGTGTATCAATAAGACCTCGTCTGAGCTACTAGGCTAGTGAAGATTAAAATAAGAGTCTTGGGGAATAGGGAATGGTTTGCACAGTAAGATTATAGTAGTTCACCAGCTCAGGAGCTCGGCTAATCCACTCTTCAACGAAGTCTCTTGCTCCTTGAACCTATATTAATGGCTTGCAAAATTTACAAAATGTTTCTAATAGAGTGTGGGTCACTTGCCCTACATTGAAGGCATTGTACAATATTTATAGTTTAATCCCTATCTCTACAGGATCTCCAGCAAGATCTTGGCAAGATCTCCTTTGATTTTGGGAGAGGATCTTGGTTAGTTGAGAGTCTTGTGCCTTGATTATAGCATGTTGTCCGAATTTGGTATTAACAATTTACGTGCAAGTATACACGATCAACAAGTAATAAAGTGATAAGTAGAGTATCGTTCCCACGAAGAATTATTAATAATAAATTTCAAGTACTAACTTTATATCAATTCAATTTTATTTAAACAATTGAAATTGAGCTATGGAATTACTAATTAAAACTAAATCTAAACTTAACAATCAAGGGTTGAATTTACTAGAGAAAAGAAGTTAAGATTACAACTTCCCCTAATGCTTCGTATAAATCTTTCTAACTCTCTTTCCAGTTAATTGATCAAAATAAGTTGTTAACTGAGAACTCAAAGTTATTTATCAAACCTCTTCCGATAGTTAGATAAAATTATCTATCCCAATTAAATTACTATATTCCTATGCAAAATAAGTTGGAATAGATTCATTAAGTTCAAACTCTCATAAAAGTTACACACGGCGTACAGGTATATTCCTATCCTATACACAAACCCAGCTATTCAATCCTAAGAATAATAAACTAGACGCATGTCATCATATTCAGATCTAAACCTAGAATTCATCTCCCAATTTCATCAAGGTTATCACATTAATTGTTGGCCACACAATCATATATTAAACACAAAATATGACAAACAACTCATATAAGATCAATAAGAACTAGAAACGAGAGTAGATTAATTTAACTACACATAGGTTTCATTGCAATCTTAATAAAGATTTAGTTCATAATGTAATTGAAAGACATCATTCTGAAATTAAACAACATCTTAGAAAATCAAAAAATAAAAGTAAGAGAAAAGAATGAAAACTTAGTTGTAGTCTCCAATCCTTCTCTACCCTTCAAGAACAATCTTCTTCATGTCGATTTCTTCAATCCATGTCTTCAATTTTCTTCCAATTTCTTGGTCGTTCTAGCCGTTTTCAGCCCCCAAAAGTCAGAATATATCATCCCCACACAAACCCTAGTATATATATAGCCTTAGGGTTAAATTTTGGGCCCAAAACAAGTCAAAATTCGCATAATAGATTAACACACGTGCAGGGGCGCTCAAACTGGTGCAGGGGCACTGATTTGGACAGTGTTTGGGCACCCAAATTGGCGCTGGGGCGCGCCTCCTTGTATTCTGCCTAGTCCGGACTAGTCTTCGTAGAATCATCATAACATTTGATACAACTGTCCGATTGAGCTGAAATTTTGACACAATATAGAATACATCCTGATCTACAACTTTCATGTTTTGTAATTTTTCAGATTCAAAGTGAATCATGGTTCAAAAGGCAGAAAGCCGAGGTACTACNTGATCTACAACTTTCATGTTTTGCACTTTTCAGATTCGAAGTGTATCATGGTCAAAAAGGCAGAATACCAAGGTACTGCTACAAAATGGTACACTATAAATACTCTATTAAAATGCCCTTTAACTTCCTCTTCAAAAATCCAACACTTAGGCTCCAATTTTGACCTTATTTCCTCCCAAATAGTCATTCCTACAAACTAACATCAAAACACAAAAAACGAATAAAAATGAACATAAAATAATTAAAAACTTGCAATTTCATTAAGCCGAAAGCACTCAATTCGTAGGTATAAAACCCACTCATCATAGCCTTCTATCACTGGGGGTGTTCTCTATTAACCAGGTGTTTCCTTTACACTCCCCTTATTTCTCCCCTGAGGGGAGCTCAAGGTATGGGCCACTGGGAGCTTGGGGATGGACCAACGAGCTCTAGACCTCCTTACCTGATCTCACTTCTCGAGCTCACACTTTGCTAGAATTCTTTCCAGGTATCACCAATTGGCCCCCAGCCCTTGGCTCAAGAGAACTTGGGCAAGGGCTGAGTTGGAGATGAATTAAGGTAAACCTCCACACGTCACCTCGATTTGCTCATGAACAGGTTTTTCTGACAATCCTGGGTAATCATTTTTTCTCGTTTCTTGTGCACGTTTCCTTCTTCAAAGACCCACGTACCGTAAACTTTAAATGCTTCTGAATGCCCCAACACTCGTTTTGTCTTCTCACTCTAGGATTTTCCCTTCCCTTCTTTGTTACACCCTTTGCTTCCCCAATTTGCTGATAATCTTAGGGTGTTTTGCTGAATTTCAACCTCTTTGGGTTCAATTTTGATGGCTTCGCGAGGCTTGTTTTCCATTTTTGCTCTGGGGCTATGATTCGTTTGTTGTCTCTGCCTAGGTACGCTTCCTGCCTAGGTGGTTACTACATTTTTGGACTTTTCGATTCTACTATTTTAGGAATTGAGGTTACTCCTTGTCTTATCTTCCCCTCTTCTTGGGTCCTTACTCTACTGCACGAATCTTCCTCATTGGATGTTGTTGCGCCAAGCCTGGGATTCTTAGGGAGTGCTCTGCTAACGTTTCTCCTCTTTATTGTTCCTTCATACTTCTTTTCCCCTGCTCCATCATGTCTACCTCTTA